ATTGAGACTAAATTTGGAAAAGGAGAAATAATTGGAAAATTAAATGTTGATAAAGTGATTCCTGAATGCCTTAGCACTAATCACAATTATATAGACACCTTAGACTATCACAATAGTTTTAATGTTTAAGGTTACAGGTTTTTATTTGGAATTGATTTTGGGTTATCCTGGAATGCCATACCGTTAATCCAATTCATTTTCATTCGATGACTTATAGAAAATAAACTTGGAATCAAATTTTATTTTCTAGGAATAACTACTAATTTGTTGGTGTTATAGGCAAACACAAGCCAGAGCAAGCTTTCCTGATTGTACCCCTCCCCTTCGATTCTTAGATCAAGGACCCTATTTTATTAGATTCTACCTTTAAATCCTTTGTATTTTTTGCTCTATCGTTATTTTATTTGCTAGTGATTTTTGGGTTTCTTCCAATTTAAGTGACTGCATTCGGTTTTGATTTGACATTGGGGAGGAAAAAGACGAGGTGATGATGAAATCCATTGGTCTTCCAATCCACTGACATATGTATGATGTTAATAATGAATCCCGACAGGTTCTGATCGTCTTTTTCTTCCCACACCCAAAAAAACCTACAAATTATCACACACTAACTCACATCTTTATATATATATATATATGTATGTATGTACTTAATATGTATGAGTATGTTTATGTTCTTATTTTCTTGGTAATGGGCATGTGATGAATCTCATAACAAATGGGTAATTTGCGTCTGAATGTTTCAGTGATGCTAAATCACCTTGGAGAACTGATGCATCCTTTTATTGCGTGTATAGCTTCTTTTTAGACAATGTGTGATGGCAACAACATTTGTTTTTTTTTTTTTTTCCTAGTTGGTACTCACACACACTTATCTCTTCTGACACTTGAACCCCTGACCTCCCTTTGAGAGGTAAGAGGCTGATTTTTTATTTATTTTATTTATTATTTATTTTTATTTTTTAATAATATGAATGTGAATGGTGTTATTATAGTAAAAGCAGAATTTGAATTTTATGAGTTTAAAATGAAGTTAATCCTTTACATTATGTTGCCAATTGTCACAAGTATGGTATTTTTTTCCCATGTACATTAGTGACATATTTAGCTATTTGAAAGATGTATGGACTAAGTAAAATATATTATTGTAAACATTTTTGTGATTTTGGTTTAATTAATTGGGTGGTTCTGAGTTAACAATGCTTGATACCCCTGTGAGGTATTTGTTTTGGACCTAACATGAAGTACTTTCAAGGGTTTGTGAATTTTTTGCCTTTGGAACATTTAATTGTGCAACAGTGGAGGTTGTAGGCAATGACTTAAGTCCTAAACTTCTCTATCTTGACATTGGTTGCAATAAGGTGGCATTGTATTATTTAACTCTTTTTATTTGCTATGTATGGGGATGTGCATATTCTAAATTTTATCATTAATGATCTCAGTTCTTGTTTCACTTCCTTGAAGATAAGGTTTGCTTAATATATTTTTTTTCAGTCATCTTCTTATGTATAACATTGTAGCTTAAGTTGTAACAATGTTGTTTCTAAGATCTCATTTAATCTAGTTTACTTTATGTAACAAAGTTGTGTTTTTCAGGTAGTTCTGATTAGGATTGGTAAGTGTTAAGTACTGGATCTGACTCTCTTATGTTGCCGGAGAGGATCTCTAAAATTATTTGTACTTGGGGTAAGTTGCCTAATGCCAATATCTGATGCATCATTTGGTATTGTGTGTTGGTTAAGTTGTTTGATGTGTTTAAATAAATGAAGTGATTATTTTTTTCTCAGTAAACAATTTAAATGAATTGATTTTTTAGATTCCCTCTCAATTATGACCATATCAAAATTTTGTGCAACCACATTCTGCCATAACTTAAGTTACTGCTTGGGTACTTTAAATCTTATGTATCGGTTGGGTAATTTAGATCTTAATTTAAAGAGATGAAGATTTGAAATCTTCTAAGTTGCTTTAATTGAGTATTTTAAAGAAGTCTAAACAAAATAGCCATGATTATAAAGCAGAAAAAAAGATAAAAAGTCACAAAAATAAATGTCTGATGGATTTGGATCCCTTCCTAGATCCTTTTAGAAGACATTGTGTTTAAGTTTTATAAACCCTAAATGCATTGCACAAGAGAATTTCTCTCTTTAAAATTATTCATTCAAGTCTTCCACAAAATTCTCTGTCTAAATCTCTCACAAGTCAAGTTTTAAGCTTTAGAAATCTCTACAATGGGAGAGAAGTTAGCAAGTAGATCAGGGAAAGGAGGAGAACATAGAGCTTGAAAGCTGAAGGAGATACTTTTGAAAGTTTTTTTGAAAAGGATTTTCACCTTTGCATCAAGAGTTATCATGCTCTTCCCAAAACATCAAATACTCATTTCATTAGAAATGACATCTTTGGACATTGAAGAATGGAGGAGCAATAATGTGGTATAAGGAAGAGGAGATCTAGCAAGCAAGGGCTTGCAGTTCCTACGATCTGAGTCCACACCAAATTTCACACTCCACTTGTGGAGTAGCGCCCTTGATGTTTGACCAAGGGCCTAAAGTGGGCCCTTGTGTACATTTTTGTTTTTTTTTGTTTTTTTTTAAAAAGTGTTGTGTGAGACAAATAAAAAAGAAGTGTAGAGCCAAAAAATAATAAAATAATAAAGTGGAGACCGGGAGAGAAGAGTGCACACCAAGAGGATGGACTCTCCAAAAAAAAGTGTAGAGCCATGTTAACAATTGTGGCTCTACACTTATAAAAAAGTGTAGAGCAAATTTGCTTCTTCCACACCGGATGCTCTAAAAGTGAGATTGAAGATTGGAAGAAAGTATTAGTCTTTGTGTATGAGATCACATCATTCTATTTATGAGATTTCTAAGCCTAAATTCGTGGGAATCTAGAAATATAAAATGTGTAGGACAAGAGTGTATATCTCTATGTAGTCTCTTGGAGAAGATGTTTCAGGGTTTAGAGCATCTGGTGTGCAAAAATTGGCTCTACACTTTTTTTGGAGAGTCATTTTTCTCTCGTTCTTCACTTTATTATTTTATTTTATTTTGGCTCCACACACCATCACTTTTTGTTTTAAAAAAAAAAAAAACAAAAATATACACAAGGGTTCACTTTGGGCCGTTGGTGAGGCCCTATACCACACTCCACTCACGGATTGTGGAATTTGGTGTGGGCTCTACCAAATGGAGAAGCCCACTTCAAGTGCAAGCCATTGGCCAAAAAGGCTTGCCGTTGGCCAGAACACTCTCTAGACCCAATAAACAAATTCCAATCAGGTATTTTTGTAACGTTTTAAAGTACAAGTTTGTTTAAATATAAAATAATTCATTATAAGAAAGGCATTACTTAATAATTCCCTAATTTAATACTTAATAAGAAAGGCATTATTTAATATGCTAATAAGTAACCATTTGAGAATTATTCATTTTGTCAGTACTTTATAGTTTATTAATTTTTTTAGGTTTGATTACTTATATCTAATTTTTCTTTGATTCTTTTTAGAGGTTCACCCCCTTCTAGATCGAGCAGTAGATAGAAGTCGATACCTGCAAGTACTTGCCTCTTGTAATGGGTACCGTTAGCTGGTCATGATTGAGCCAATCATTCTATTTTTACATGTGTTTTGAGTTCTAGTCAGTTGTGGTATGGTTATTTTAATGTCTTGTTTGGAATTGTTTTTGGCTTATACTGTGGAGTGAAAATGAAATGGAAAAGAAAAAGAAATTATAGGAACTTGCTCCATTATCATCCCTACTAGAGAAGCTTAACTTAATATTAAAAAAATAAAATATATGTATGAAGATACTTCTTTTCTTAATTCAAAAAAAAAAAAAAAAAAAAAAATTCATAGAAATAAGAGAAAAATAAACTAAGAGAAAGTGGTAAAATTTCAATTTTACAAGTTCAATTTATTGTACATCTTTTTTGTTTTTTATTTCTTTTTCCTCATTTACTAAAAATTACTCGGAACCATTCGTGAACTTCATGCACTTTCATTCTAACGTTCCGCGCAATTTTGCTCACTCTCTCGTCCCTTAAATAAATAATTATGTAAAAATCTAGAAACGAGTTAGGGAAGGGTTTCTTAGTGTACACGTGCGTGCCTATAAGTACTCCTCACTCTGTTATTTTTTCTTAATTTCTCGCCACTTGCCTCCTTTCTAGTCCTCCCTCTCTCACTATACAGTAGTCTCTCTCTCAATACCAGCAATTTGAAGGTTTTCGTAGATCTATGAATAAATAAATAAATATATATATATATATATATACACTTTTTATTAGTTTTATTTTTCTTGAATATTTGATAGACATGATGTATTGATGTGCGGTGAAGATTTTATATTCCTGTTCCAAAGATTGTCTCTCATGACATTGTCTGTGACAACACACAATCCACTAAAGAAGTTCTGAGCGCAAAACTAACCTATTTTACTTGATTCTATTATATTCTAGTTTTAAATCCTCTAGTATTTATTTGCTAGTGATTTTAGGGTTTCTTCCGATTTTATTCGGTTTTGATTTGAAATTAGGGTGGAAAAAGATGAGGTGATGATGAAATTCATTGGTCTTTCAATCCACTGACGTGTGTGATGTTAATAATGAATCCCGACAGGTTCCGATTGTCATTTTCTTCCCACACCCAAAAAAGCCTACAAATTATCACACACCTAACTCACATCTTTATGTAATTATATAGTAGAAATATAATATAGAATGAAAATGCGAGAATTTTGTAAAGGTTTGAATGAGATAATCACTCATTCACAACTCTCGTATTTATAGATAAAAAAGAGCACATGCTCATATTACAAGAAAGGAAATAAAATCAAATCTAAATCAAAGAAATTAAATAAAATAAAATCTAAATCAAATCACATAATATTTTATGGCATATTCTTTAGCATAATCAGATCTATTCTAATACGGTAAGTCATTCCATAATCGTGGCTATCATATTTGCTAACACTCCCCCTCAAGTTGGTGCGTTGATATTTGAGATGCCCAACTTGGACAATGCATCTTCAAACACGGTATTGCTAGCACCCTTATTCAGAATCTACAAGTTGTAGAGTGCAAATCTGATTAGCGATGTTTTTCTCTCAAATGAAGTGCCAATCAACAAATCAAAAAGTCTTGGCCTTTTCATGCCTTCCATGTGCAGGGCTCTTTTGAGAAAAGTTTGAATGCAACTTTTATTGCTCTTATTCCGAAGAAGGGAGAGGCAATGGATGTTAGAGACTTCCGCCCTATTAGTTTGGTGGGATGTTTTTACAAGTTGATTGCGAAAGTCTTGGCCTCTAGGTTGAAGAAGGTGATGGATGGTGTCATTTCTGACTCTCAGAATACATTTGTGGGAGGTTGGCAAATCTTAGATTCAGTTCTTATTGCTATTGAATGTGTTGATTCCCGCTTGAGCAGCGGTGTTCCTGGTGTTCTTTGCAAGCTAGATATTGAAAAGGCATACGATCATGTGAGCTGGAGTTTCCTTCTCTACCTGTTAGAGAGGATGGGTTTTGGTGGGCGGTGGAGGAGATGGATTCTTTTTTGCATCTCTAGCGCTCGTGTCTCTGTCCTTGTGAATGGAGCGCCGACGGGTTTCTTTTCTAGCTCGAGGGGCTTGAGACAAGGGGATCCGCTTTCCCCTTTCCTGTTCCTTTTTGTGATGGAGGCTCTTAGCAGATTGCTGAAGAGGGCTGTGGAGCTGGGTTTTTTGAGAGGCTTTCGGGTGGGCAGGGATGTTGCTTGTCAATTGGAGGTTTCTCATTTGATGTTTGCAGATGACACAATTGTGTTTTGTGATGCGGATGCGTCCCAGCTGAGGTATTTGAGATGTGTTCTGATTTGGTTTCAAGTTGTTTCTGGCCTTAAGATTAATGTTGGCAAGAGTCTTCTTGTGCCTGTTGGGGATGTTCCGGAGATTGAGTTGTTTGCTTAGATCCTTGGATGTTGCACTTGCTCTTTTCCCATTTCTTATTTAGGATTGCCTTTGGGTGCCCCTTCGAGATGTGTGGGGAGCTGGGATCCGGTTGTGGACAGATTCGAGAGGAGGTTGGCGGGTTGGAAAAAGCAGTACCTGTCCAAGGGGGGTCGGGTTACCCTGATTAAAAGCACCCTTTCTAGCCTTCCTACATACTTCTTATCTCTGTTTCAGATTCCTTCTTCAGTGGCTGAGAGAATTGAAAGATTGCAGTGCAACTTTCTTTGGGGGGGAAAAGGAGAAGGGTTCAAGTTTCACTTGGTTCGGTGGGATCAAGTGTGTCGTCCAATTCGGTTTGGAGGCTTAGGGTTTCGGAGGTTGTTGCCTTTTAATAAGGCTCTCCTTGGTAAATGGCTCTGGAGGTTTGGGATCGAGAGGCATTGGTTATGGAGGAAAGTTATTGCTAGCAAATTTGGGGAAAGTCGTGGTGGGTGGTGCTCTCTGGTGATGTGTGGTCCTAGGGGGGTGGGAGTTTGGCATTTCATTCGGAGGGGTTGGGATGACTTCTGCAAGCATGTTCGTTTTCGTATGAAAGATGGAAGGAGGATCAGTTTTTGGAAGGATCTCTGGTGTGGGGAACTCCCTCTTGCTCTTGCGTTCCCACGGCTTTATAGGATTGCTTCTCATCGACAGGCCATGGTTGTTGAATGTTATCATCTTGATAACGGGAGACTGTCTTGGGATGTTCAGTTCAGGAGGCATTTTCAGGATTGGGAAATCGAGGATGTTTCTCGTTTTTTAGAGCTGTTGTATAGCCAGGTGATTTCTTTTGGGGAATCGGATGGGTGGTTCTGGATTCCTAACTCACAAGGCCGTTTTGAGGTTAGGTCCTGTTTCAGATGCCTTTCGGTTGGTTATGGAGATCCCTTCCCTTGGAAGTCTATTTGGTGGTCCAAGGCTCCCCACAAGGTTGCCTTTTTTGCTTGGACCTCTGTCCTGGGTAAGATTTTAACCCAGGATAATCTGAGGAGGAGGAATCAGGTGGTGGTCAATCACTGTTACATGTGTTTGTGTAATGAGGAGTCTGTTAATCACCTCCTTTTACATTTTAGCATGGCCAGAGATTGTTAGGATTTGATGCTTAGATTATTTGGGGTCCATTGGGCCATGCCTTATTCCTCAAGAGGGTTGATTGAGGCTTGGAGAGGCGTCTCTGTTGGGGCTGGCATTAAGGACGCTTGGAGGGCTACGCCGTTTTGTATCTGGTGGTGTATTTGGCTTGAGAGAAATAGGAGATATTTTGACGGAAAAAAGAAGCCTGTTTCTATGCTTAAGTTCTTTGTTATTTCTACTCTTTTTTGTTGGGTTTTAGGGAGAGATTATAGATCTATGGAGGAAATTATTGTTTTCTTGGCCTCTCTGAAGGTCTAAGGCGCCCTTTGGGCCTTTTGTTTTCTTTTGTTTCTTCGGGATTCGCTCCCCTTTTGAGCGTTTTTAATAAAATCTTACTTATCAAAAAAATTAAAAAAAATGTCTCCTCAGACCGTAAACAACCAATCATGTCTCCTCAGACCGTAAATAATCAGCAATGTCTCCTCAGACCATTTTCCTTCATACACATGTTTAAAACATGTAGATGGAAGAATCAACAATGTCTCCTTAGACCATTCCCCTTCATACATATGTTTAAACAATGTAGATGAAAGAATCAACAATGTCTCCCCAGACCATAAAAAGAAATGACCATGTTTCCTTAGACCATTTCTGAAAAGGCGGTGTCAAACTCGCAACACCCTCTTTGAGGTTGGATCACTCTGTCTACCCGACACCTCCCAGATGGGTGATCTCACCTTAGACTATTCCCAAATGGGTGGTGCCGAACTTGCAATGCCCTCATTGCAGTCGGATCACCTTGGCTCTGATTCCAAGTAGAAATACAATATAGAAGGAAAATGAGAGAATTGTGTAAAGGCTTGAATGAGATAATCACTCATTCACAACTCTAGTATTTATAGATAAAAAAGAGCACATGCTCATATTACAAGAAAGGAAATAAAATCAAATCTAAATCAAGAAAGGAAATAAAATCAAATCTAAATCAAATCACAGAATATTCTATGGCATATTCTATAGCATAATCAGATCTATTCTAATATGGTAAGTCATTCCATAAATCGTGGCTATCATATTTGCTAACATATATATATATATATACACGTACTTAATATGTATGAGTATGTTTATGTTCTTATTTTCTTGGTAATGGGCATGTGATGAATCTCATAACAAATGGGTAATTTGTGTCTGAATGTGTCAGTGATGTTAAATCACCTTGGAGAACTGATGTTTCTTTTTATTGCGTGTTTAGCTTCTTTTTAGATAGTGTGTGATGGCAACAACATTTTTTAAATTTTAATAATATTAATGTTAATGGTGTTAATATAGTAAAAGCAGAATTTGAACTCTATGAGTTTAAAATGAACCTAATCTTTTACATTATGTTGCCAATTATCACAGCTATGTACATTAGTGACATATTTAGCTATTCATTTGAAAGATGTATGGACTAAGTAAAATATATTATTGTAAACATTTTTGTGATTTTGGTTTAATTAATTTGGTCCTTCTGAATTAACAATGCTTGATTCCTATGTGAGGCATTTGTTTTGGACCTAACATGAAGTACTTTAAAGGGTTTTTTAATTTTTGCCTTTGGAACATTTAGTTGTGCAATAGTGGCTTTGTATCATTTGACTCTTTACATTTGCTACTTGTGAAGCTTGCTACTGATGGGGATGTGCATATTCTAAAATTTTTCATTAAGGCTCTCAGTTCCTGTTTCACTTCCTTGAAGATAAGGTTTGCATAATTTTTTTCAGTAATCTTATGTATGACATTGTAGCTTAAGTTGTAACAATGTTGTTTCTAACATCTCATTTAACCAACTTTACTTTATGTAACAATGTTGTGTTTTTCAGGTAGTTCTGATTAGGATTGGTAAGTGTTAATTACTGGATCAGACTCTATTATGTTGCCGGAGAGGATCTCTAAAAAAATTTATACTTGGGGTAAGTTGCCTAATGCCAATATCTGACACTTCACTTTGGTATTGTGTGTTGGTTAAGCTGTTTGATGTGCTTAAATAAATTAAGTGATTATTTTTTCTCTCAGTAAACTATTTAAATGAATTGATATTTTTAGATTCCCTCTCAATTAGGACCATATCAAAATTTTGTGAAACCACATTCTGGCATAACGTAAGTTACCGCTTGGGTAATTTAAATCTTATGGTATCGGTTGGTTCATTTAGATCTTAATTTAGAGAGATGAAGATTTGAAATCGTTTAAGTTGCTTTAATCAAGTGTTTTAAAGAAGTCTAAACAAAATAGCTATGATTATAAAGCAGGGAGAAAGATAAAAAGTCACAAAAATAAATTTCTTATGGATTTGGATCCCTTCCTAGATCCTTTTAGAAGATATTGTATTTAGAATTTATAAACCCTAAATGCATTCCACAAGAGAAAGTATCTCTTTAAAATTATTCATTCAAGTCTTCCACAAAATTCTCTGTTTAATCTCTTACAAGTCAAGTTTAAGCTTTAAAAATCTCTGCAATGGGAACGAAGTGAGAAAGTAGATCAGGGAAAGGAGAACATAGAGCTTGAAAGCTGAAGGAGATACACTCTTGAAAGTTTTTTTTGAAAAGGATTTTCATCTCTGCATCAAGAGTTTTCATGCTTCCCAAAACATTAAATACTTATTTCATTACAAATGACATCTTTGGACATTGAAGATTGGTGGATCAATAATGTGGTACAAGGAAGAGTAGATATAGCAAGCAAGGGTTGGAGTTCCTACGATCTAAGAGCATCACAAGCCTTTTTGGCCAATGGCTTGCACTGTAAGGAATTAAATCCCTTGGGTTGGGCTTCTCCATTTGGTGGAGTCCACACTAAATTCCACAGTCCACTTGTGGAGTAGCGCCCTTGATGTATGACCAAGGGCCTAAAGTAGGCCCTTGTGTGTATATATATATATATATATATATATATATTTTTTTTTTTTAATTGATGGTGTGAGACAAATAATAAAAAGTATAGAGCCAAAAAATAATAAAATAATAAAGTGGTGAGTGGGAGAGAGGAGTGCACACCAAGAGGAAGGACTTTCCAAAAAAAAAATTGTAGAGCCACGTTAGCAATTGTGGAGCCAATTTGGTTCCTTCCACATAGGATGCTCTGAAAGTGAGATTGAAGGTTGGAAGAAAGTATTGGTCTTTGTGTATGAGATCACATCATTCTATTTGTGAGATTTCTAAGCCTAAATTCGTGGGAATCTAGAAATATAAAATGTGTAGGACTAGAGTGTAAATCTCTATTTAGTCTCTTGGAGAGGATGTTTTAGGGTTTAGAGCATTCCGTGTGCAAAAATTGGCTCTACACTTTTTTTGGAGAGTCCTTCGCTCCTAGTGTTCTCTCCCACTCTCCACTTTATTATTTTATTATTTTTAGGCTCCACACACCCATCACTTTTCTTTTTTGAAAAACAAAAATATACAGTTCACTTTGGGCCCTAAGTGAGCTGCTATACCACACTCCAAAAGTGGAGTGTGGAATTTGGTGTGGGCTCCACCAAATGGAGAAGCCCACACCAAATGCAAGCCATTGTCCAAAAAGACTTGCCATTGGCCAAAACACTCTCTAGATGCAATAAACAAATTCCAATCAGGGATTTTCGTAGCGTTTAAAGTGTAAATTTGTTTAAATATATAATAATTCATTATAAGAAAGACATTACTTAATAATTCTCAAATGGTTACTTATTAATGTGTAAGTATTAAATTTGGAAATTATTCATTTTGTCAGTACTTTATAGTTTAGAATAATTTTGGGTTTCATTTCTTATATCTAATTTTTCTTTAATATTTTTTTAGAGATTCACCCTCTTCTACATTGAGCAGTAGATAGAAGTCGATATCTGCAAGTAGTTGCCTCTTGTAATGGGTACCATTGGTTGGTCATGATTGAGGCAATCATTTTATTTTTACATGTGTTTCGAGTTCTAGTCAGTTGTGGTACGGGTATTTTGAATAGAATGGTTATGTTTAAGGTCTTGTTTGGAATTGCTTTTGGCTTATCTTAAGTAAAAATGAAATGGAAAAAGAAAAGAAATTATTATTAACTTTTATACATTTAGGACTGAACAACTATCAAACAGAACTGCTTCATGATCATCTTACTTCCTAGAATAATTTGATGATCTAAAGGATTGCGAATCATTTTTCTATGTTTTGGTGTATTGGCTTTGCTCGCTGGGCTATTGCCCAGTGAGTGGATCCCACATGCCCACTCGCTGAACAAATGCCCAGTGCTCATTTGGCTATTTAAGCTGGACTTGCCCAACTTGATTTACAATTTAAAAAATATATATTAATAATTAGAATATAAAAGATGAAAATGAATATAATAAAAATGGTGACCTTATGTCACATACACGTGCTCCTAACAACACAGACGGTAGTTCATCGAAAGACACAAATATCATCTTGCATGCTATTTTAGAAATTTGGTTACAGTCTTACCTTATGATTCTGGTATAATAAAATAGACTTGTGCAGAAATGGAATTTTTACCAGTAAAGAAAGTTTGCTAGAAGGAAGATTTTCTGAGATAGTTATTCCAATGTTGGATTTGCTTATTTGTATATTGTTTTTATAAGTTTCTTTTTTTCCTTGAATATTTGATAGACATGATGTGCTGTGAAGATCTAATTTTCGTGTTCCAAATATAGTGTCTCTCATGACACTGTCTGTGATGGCACACAATCCTCTAAGAAGTTCTGAGCACAAAACTCATCTACTATTATTCTAATTTAGCTTTAAATCCTCTTATTTTTTTGCTAGTGATTTTAGGTTTTCTTCTGAATACAAGCCTTTTGTGCTTAGTTTTTTTTATGTGAAATTTGGGAGGAAAAAGATGAGTTGACGAAGAAATTCATTGGTCTGTCAATCCACTGACATATTACTGTGTGATGTTAATAATGAATCCCGACAGGTTTTGTTCGTCTCTATCTTCCCAGATCCAAAAAACACACAAGTCATCACGCACAAACTCATTTCTAACCGACCTAG